ACTGGCTTCCAACCCCCCCCCTTCTCTGCCAATCTCTCCACTGGCTTCCATCCCTTTCCTCTCTCCACCAATCCCTCCAATGGCTTCCATCCCACTCCCTCTCTGCCAATCCCTCCACTGGCTTCCATTCCCGACCCTCTTAACCAATCCCCCCGTAGGATTCTGCTCACCCAACAAAATACTAACGAGCATACAAAAGCCATCCACAACTCGGCCTGAACTACATCACTGACCTCTACTCACTATCACCCAAACCATCCTCTTTGCTCCTCCTGAGACCTCCCGTTCTCTAGCTTCCTCGCCACCTCCTCCCTTCTCACAACTAGGACTTTCCCAGAGCCTCTCCCATCCTCTGGAACTCCCTACCCCAACCTGTCCGGCTATCCTCCACACTGTCCACCTTTCGACAATCCCTGAAATCTCATCAGGGAAGCCTATTCTGAGTCCTCCTAAAAAACTGAATGTTTGCCTTCTCTATCAGCTTATCCCCTCAGTTGTATCACTTGTCCTTCACTTTAGATTGTAAGCTCCCACGGTCATTACCCTCCTGTATGGCATTGTATTGTAACTGTACTTTCTCCTTTTATAATGGTATAATAACAACAATTAGTGCCGCCTGCCACACAAAGATGGGAGAATGTTACCGGAGTTCCTCTGAGAGGATGGCGCCGAGGATCTCTGCGCGTAATTCTGTGAGCTGGAGCCGGCAGGGGCGTACGCGGCTGGCGGTGCGCTCTGAGAGCTGTTCTGGCTGACCTGGAACAAAGATTTGCAGAGTAATTAAATTCTCGTACGTTCTAAAGACTTCATTCGTTTTATTACAATTTAATTACAGCGCGGCGGAGGTTTTTATTAGACTGAATTCCCAGGTCCAATAGTATTGTTTGGCTTGGTGGGAAAGCGTGACAAGGAACTGCCAAGCTCGCGCCGTCGTCTCATTTTAACTGTCAGAGACGCAATTTTATTTGAAAAGGATTTCATTTTTTTTTCCCGTTACGCCAACATGCCGCGAACAACTAGCGCGCTGCAACGGCGAATATTTACCGACCAGCTACAAATGTAGGAAGTCCTAGAAAATGGAGTTTGCTGTGATATATGAAGAAGCTGGACCTTTAGGCCTTGTTCACACCAAGCGCGGAGCAGATCCGGACCAGAGCAGGTGCAGACCGGATCAAAACTGCGTCCAATGTATTCCTATGGTATTTTGACCTCCAGTTCACATCGCAGCGTGCGGATCCAGACCAGATCCAGACCGGATGAAAAAACTGCGGCAAGCCCTATTTTACCTGCTCTGGATCTGGTCTGGAACGCATCAAAAACGCATCTAAAAATGCAAAAACGCATCAAAAACGCATGCAAGTGCCTGAAAGCCCATGTTAAACTAAAAAAAAAACACCAAAAACCGGCCCTAAACGCATCAAAAACGCGTCTAAAACACGGCACAACCCACTGCACTGCGTGTGCAGAAACCTGACCGGATCTGGTCTGCATTTGGTGTGAACAAGGCCTTAACCCTTCCACTGCCAGAGA